CTAGTTAACATGCCAACAGGATTGGGGACACTAGTTAACATGCCAACAGGATCGGGGACATTTCTCAAGGCCCCAATCCTAGATGAAGAGCCCTGGGCAAACAATGGCTGCTGAGAGACAGGGAATCTTTCTCCAGGGACAAGCCCTAACAGGGCTCAATCCAATCCCAAGTTGCCAGTCACACACACACACACACACACACACACACACACACACACACACACACAGAATTATGAATTTGAGAGGGGGTAGTTAGAAAGGGAAGAGGAAGGGGTGAAAGTGATGTAAATATAATATTTGTATAAATTTCTAGAATAAATTTTAATTTTTAAATTTTAGAATAAAAACTATATTTAAAAAGAACCTTTCTTCTCAGGTAACTGAGCACAGACACATCACGGAGAGTTATGACTGGTTGGGACACAGGCAATAAATATATAAATGTGCTTATCCAGATTGCCGAGGTCACATATAGTAAAAGAATCTGAAACACAGAACTAGCAAAAATGTTGGCAAGGCATCACTAAGAGTTCAGAGGATGTTTGGAAACACACAAGTCAGTAACACCAAAAAGTAAAGATTAAAAAGAAAACAACAAAACTTCCATTTGTGGAGACGTCTATAAACTAAAATCTCATCCTCTCTCATGAACATATTTTCTTTATAATGATTTATGGTGTGAAGTGTTATAAGGAATCATTCTAATTCAACCACACATGGTTTTGAAGGCACTTCACCAACTGGCCATTTACTCTATCTTTACTCAGTCCCTATTCTAGTACTGAGTACTAATACATGGAGACACATTGAAGAAACAGAAAATCTGCCTACTGAAATGTACAACTTACATGTTAAAGACGGCTGAAACACCTCTTCTCTCAGAGGCAGGGGTTCACTATTAGTGAGAGCCCCAGAAAACTGGGCTGCGTAGATGGTGAACACCACTTAACAGAAAAACCTCTCAGCCTACAGTGTTCTTCTTGCATTTCCATTTCTCCAAAGCCAATATGGTCTCAGTCTGACACTGCTGGCGAATTCACTAGGAAATCTGGAACAAGTGAGCACGTGCCCCGTGTGTCAAAGGTTGGCACACAGGCCTGCGAGCTTGGATCAAGAACAAAGCTCTCTGGTACGATAAATAAAGAAACGGGAGAGTATTGAGCCTGGCTCTTCTTTCATCCATGCATAGCGGTTGTCAGACGGCTCTGGACAGTCTACCCCTCCTGTTCCTGCAGAGCAGATAGTCATCGTTACAGCTGTTCCAAAGGAAGCAGGCTTTCATGTTCCGTAAAAATGGCCCAAGTAGCAGTTCAACAAATATTAACGTTTGAAACCACTGTGTTTACAGCTGTGATTTCCCCCTATCTGAAACCTCACCAGCGGGCAGACATCCTGATCCACTCTACAAGAGGGAAAACAATCGAAAGGCAGGATGGGTGTGGCAGGAGGGAGGTCACTAAATAAGAAAAGGCAGCTCTTTAAGTGGAGGCTGGCTAGTCGTTAGGCCACTGGGCTGAAAGGATTTATGCCACTTGTAACAAACTTCAAAAGAAGTTGCCCATTTTTTTAGGCCCTTTGTTTAGTTCTTACTGCACAACAAAGCAAGTTACAAGATCGCTCCTATAATAGTTTTGCACACAGCAGCCAGCAGCAGAAGGCTCCTCCCCTTTGGGAAAAGCTTCCAGATTCCAAAGTTGGAAACATCCAGTGCAGGGTTCAAAATGCATCATACATTTGCCTTATTTAAATTGTATTAGTGGTAATAAGCCAATAGAAAAGGGATAACAACAAGAACGTTCAGGATAAATAGCTTCTTCCTAATGAGTTACACACACACACACACACACACACACACACACACACACACACACACCCCTCTGAGTGAACTAATTCCCACAAAGTTACACAATACAGTTAACAGAAAGTATGTGAGCAGTGGATACTGCCAGTTGGGTAAAAGGGTCCTGCAGCTTCTTCGCCTTAGATGACCAGCTTCTCCACACTAAGTGTACTTGTGGTTTCATCCTCTTCGTTGGAGCCGAAGTATCCCGGGAGGTCCAGCATTCTCTGCTCAGCCTCAGTGAGGCGGAAAGAGGTATTGTCATAGAAGGCGAACTCTGGGTGGATGGGGAAGCTCTGGCATTTGTCTTTTCTGAAGTGAGAAGGGCTAAGCTGACTGACTTTCTGGTAGCTGTCTTTGGGGAAAAGGGGCGAAGACTGCTTCCTTGAAACACTCCTGTGACTGGGGGACGGTCCCCTGTGAGCTCGGGGAGGCTCCTTTTTCTCAGCTCCTGCCACCGACCCTGCCTGGCGATCCCCCGAGTCCGGTTTCCTCCGGGGATGCCCCACGGTGTAGGATTTAGAGAGGGGGCCCAAGGGACTGCTGGTCCGGCCTGCCCCTTGGAAGTGTTCTGATCTCTCCGGAAGCAGGTGAGCACTTCGGCTGGGTGGTCTCCACCTATCCTCGATCTGGTCCCAGGTCCGCATCCGGGAACTGTAGGCGGGGACCTGGCGGGGAGTCAGCGCCGACAAGCTCCTCTCCCGGAAAGGACGGGACTGCTTGGTTTCGTGAAAACTAGCCGTCCTCCTGAAGAGGGAACTTCTGGAGTGGCACCTCTCCGATGAGCCCTCTCTCCCGACAGTCGACCTCATCTGCGACTTGCGGATCAGGGTCTGGCTGGGACTGACCGCGCAGCTGGGCAGAGGCACGATGCAATCCATCCTAGAAGGGGGCCTTTCCCCGGGGCCTGCCACAGGCTGGTCCACAAATGGAGACTTGATTCGGAACTTGCTTGCTGCGGCGGCTGCTGCGGCTGCGGCTGCTGCTGCTGCTGCTGCTTCTTCGGGGCACTCCAGGTCTAAGGGAGGGCTGGCAGTGGCATCCACGACAGTGTCCGTCAGGGGACTCTGAGACACGTGGTACACTTTGGTGGTCTCTGTCAGCCCTTTCTTCTTCATCTCCTTCAACTGCTGCTGGGCCAGGCGGTAGCTGAACAGGGGTGGGATGATCTTCTGAGCGTTGGACTGGAAGCTCTCACTGCCGGAGGCCTCGTCCTCAGGAGCCGCCGGCGGCGGCGCACTGCACCTGTATGTCAAAGGGATGCCCGTGTCGCCTGGGCTTCCCCTGGGTCCGTCACCCGCATCCGAGAAGCTCCCACGAGCCTCGCTGAGCTCGCAGATGTTCTCCTCATCCGAGTTCTTCCGGAAGCCTGGGGAATGGATGGAGTTGTGTCGGGCTGGGGTGCTGCATTTGGGGGCTCTGCCGAACCTCCTCCAGAGTGTGATGAGCACGGTGGCAATGATGATGAACAGGCACAAGGATATCCCTGTGACGGTCACGACGTTGTTGGACTTCACGGGACCCTGGGGTGGAAGAGGTGATGGGCCTGGTGACCGGAAAACTTGAAAAAGAAAACAAAGGAAAAAAAAGTTACAACACACGTCTTCTCTTATGTTGATTTCTCTGCATTTTGGGGCCAACGTGGTTGCCTCAGTTATCAGAGCAATTAGAAGAAAGGAAAGAACCAAAGACTTGGATTCCTGATGAGAGCTGAAGGCACACAAGGTGACCGGTAAAGAGAAAACCCGGGAAAAACAGGGACCACAGAAGGCAGGTGGCCGGGGAAGCCACAACCAGGAGACTTCTGTGCTCAGCAGTTCCTGCCGAGACCCTCCCACACACACTTATGAAGATGGGAACATGGGCTACCTGTAGTTTAATGTACCCGTGAGAGGCATGTGGGCAAAGTCCATGAGTAAAACTCGAAACCAAACATACATGCTGTAGGTAACTGTACCTAAACTTTCACAATTAGCAAAACTCGCGGAGGCAAATCCGACTAGTAGCCATGAAGTCCATCATGTGTCCCATTCTAATATCTAGACCCCATCCTCCTGAGCGGGAAGAAGCTGCCCACATTTCTGTTCTCAGTCGTCACTGCCCCTCCAGCCTCCGCATGGGATGACTTGTCTTCATATCTGAAGTCTCGACCATGTGTGTCCCACAGTCGAGATGTTTTACGAAGATGCAGAATCCCATGGAGTCTCCGCCTGTACTGCCGCCAGACACCTGGAACCCGGATGCTGACTGTTACCACCTAACCTCACCGTGCCCCCGCCCCCACCCCCACCCCCGCTGCCTTAGTCACTACCCACTATCTAGGGCCTTCCGGGCACCCGTCCCCTTTTCTCTATGGTATTACTCGGTCTCGCCACCTCCACCTGCTCCCAGGGTTTCCCTCGGTTTCTACTGTTCTCTAGAGCACACCTGATTACAAACTCCTCATACTCCTCCATCTCCCTTCAGAGGGAGGCCCACTTGGCCTCCTCATCTCACTTGAAGCCTGTCCATCCCACAGAGCAACTTTCCCCAACCCTCTCAGCTGGGATCTGTTACATACATGTCTTGGTTTTAATATTTGTATATGTGTGTGTGCATGTACAGGCGCACACATGCACGTATACAAGCATGTGCATGAGAGAGAGAGAGAGAGAGAGAGAGAGAGAGAGAGAGAGAGAGAGAGGAAGCTCTCATAGGCCAGAAGAAGGTTCAGATGCCCTGGAGCTGGAGTTAGAGGAAAAAACTTCAGACCTCTGCAAGATCTGATTGTCGACTTGACATGCTCAGGGAGAGGAAACCTCAACTGAGGAATTGCCTCCATCGAATTATCCTGTGGGCATGTCAGTGGGGGCATTTTCTTGGTTACTAATCCATATAGGAGGGCCCAGGGCACTGTGGGCAACACCATCCTTGGGCAGGTCTGTATAAGAAAGGTAGCCAAACATGAGCCTGGGAGCAAGCCAGTAAACAACATTCTTCCCCGTTCTCTGCTTCGGTTCTTGCCTTCAGATTTCTGCCCTGGCTTTCCTCAATGGTAGACTGTACTGTGTGAATGCACCCTTCCCCACCCTAGTCTGAGGCAGGAGTCCATCCTAAGCGAACCTACTAGGCCTGGGAATTCTCAGCTGCTGCACCCAGGGTCTGAGTTAAGGCGGAAGAGAACCCGTGGCTGGGCAGGCCCCTGCCTCTGCATTCTGCCCTGTCCAACCGAGGCTCCCCACAACCTTTGTCCACCGCTACCCATAAACATGGCGGCAGCTGCGCCTCTCCTGGCGTCTTTCTCACACCCACAGGGGACAAGTGTGCTCCTGGAAAATGTGGGTCCACCCACCTAAGCTCTCCAAGCCATCCTTCCCCGAGGGATCACCCCTCTGACCAAGCATCCCCAAGTGTCCTCTCCAGCAGCTCCTTTTTTCTCAGCATAGAGAAACATGTGCACACTCCCCGCCCCCACAATGCCACAGCCAATCACACTTCTTGCCTTCCCCGCCCTGCTTAGCAGAGGAGGCGTTCACATTTACTGACATGCTGCTTGTCTATCATCAACTTTGCTCCCTGCAATAGTACAGTTCTCCCTATAATCATGAATGACCCCCCTAACAGTCAGATGTACAGGTCCGTCCTGCAGTACTATCTGCCGTTTTGTGACTCAACTCCCCGATTCGTTTCAAGGACAGCGACTGGATTCTGTGGTCAGGCAGAACTGCATATTTAACATAGATATAACGCCCTTCTAAAGGATGAATCCAGCGCCTTGGACATCTGGGGGCTCTTATCTCTGAGCTGCACCCCTAGCTCTTTCTCCTCCTTCCCAAGCACCTGTGCCTTCTCCCGATATACCTAATTTTAAGGGACTAGAGTTTCTCCGGCCATTCGGTGGCCAGTATGAGAGCCCCGGCTTTCGATCTTCATGCCACATGCAGGGACTTTGCATCCCCCTCTCCCTGAAGCCCTATGGCCACCAACTGAAGCTGTCACTTGGGTCTCTGAAAAATCCTTGACAGGCACTCTTTTCCTCCACCTACCTTTTTCATTTGTATCCATGTTACAGCCAAAGAGGCATCTACAGCACAGGCTCCCACTGCTGAGGCCCCCCGGGACACTATTTGTCCCCTCTCGTCCCAGCACACCACCCTCCAGCCACAGCGAACCGCCTCACAGTTCTCAGGTCTCTGGCTGAGCTGTTTTCTCCCACACCTTCAGTCACTGCCCCTCTATCAAACTCCCCGCCTCTCTTCTCACCTGGGGGCACATTCTCCACCCTCAAACTTCAGCTCAAGCGTCACCCGCTTTAAGAACTGACTTGTCCCCAGTATGGATTTTTTTGACCCCGCATGCTTCCGTAGAAAGCTGTGGGCACCTTTATCGTTTCAGGCTTTGGATTACATTATGTTTCTCTCTGAACCTTCCAGGCGGCTATGTCCCATTTCAAGACAAAGATGGATCTTGTAAGTGAATTCAGTAGATTCCCGATCCTAGTCACAGTTCACTGTAACCTGCACACAGTACCCAATGAACATTAGTTTAATCAACTGGTTCAGCCATTCTTAAAAAGAATGTTAGTAAAACGATCACTATTGCACCAGACGGTGTGAACCTATCACAGCAACGGACGCCTCCCACTCTTTTGTTGATGTCTTGGTGGTACAAAAGCATTTCCTTCCATAGCCAGACAAAACTCTGGATCCTCGACTCAGTAAAAACAGGTGGTGAGAGGCTAGTTCCCTGGTGTGCCGCCTCCGTTATTGGCCATGACCGCCAATGACAGTGTGTGGCAGCATTTCCACCACCCGTCACAAAGTGCTCTCTTTGCTATTTCACTTTCTGACTCTGGCTGGCAGCTTCAGGGAAAAAGAAAAAAAAAAAAAAAACACAGATGGAAAAGAGTTGTTCACAGCTGCTGGTCTGACCCATCCTGCCTTATCTAACTCTTCCTGCATCTCCTGAAGTGAAGGAGATGCCCTGATGCTGAGCAAATCTTCACATCTCTAGAGAGTAACAGACAGACAGACAGAAGAGGAAGAAGCAAATACATGGAAAGTTCATTTTATCCAACTAAGCATTTATCCTGGGCCTTGGTGTACAGGAAGGGGCATCTTTATCACTCAGCTGTCTTGTTAAAAATGTGCTTTTTCAGACCCCACCCAATATAATGAAAGTTAGATGCCAGAACATAAAATCCAACCATATTTCCTCAAAAAACAGCTGCCAACTTCACTTGCTGATGTCTCTTCCAGAAAGTTACGCTGGCCTGAATAGAAAGGCAAAGTAGTTAAGATTGGCCGCTTGCTATGATTCCTCATTTTGTGGCCCTGGGCAGGGCACCTCCATGTGCCCAGAGCCTTCCTCCAAAATGTGCAGGAGAGAGTGTACAGTCGTCACTTAGTATCTTAGGATTATCTCCTGGATGCTTAGGGATATCAGCCTCTGTGTGTGTCTATAAAATGGTGTCATATTTGCACAGAATTCACACACATCCTCCTGCTTTTGAAGACATTTTTAGGTCACCTCTACTGCCCAGGATCATACAACAGTTGTATAACTAGTTGTCACACTATATTGCTTACAGAATAATGACAGGAAAAAAATGACTGGGACTGGCAAGATGGCTCAGCAGTTAAGGGCACTTGCTTCAGACCCTGACAGCCTGAGTTTGACTCCCAGAACCCACAGGGTAGAAAGAACAAATGCCTACAAGTTATCTTATGACCTCTACACAAGCACCATGGCACATGCATTCACTCAAAAGCTCATGTACATGTGTACATGCAAAAATTTCAATGTTAAAAAGGAAAAATGTTGGGCTGGAGAGATGGCTCAGCGGTTAAGAGCACTGACTGCTCTTCCAGAGGTCCTGAGTTCAATTCCCAGCACCCACATGGCAGCTAACAACTGTCTATAACTCCAAGATCTGACACCCTCACACAGACATACATACAGGCAAAACACTAGTGCATATAAAAGAATAATAAATAAAAAATTAAAAAAAAAGAAAGGAAAAATGTCTTCATGTGTTCAGGACAGATACAATTTCTTTTAGAGAGTTCAGGACTTATTAAAGAAGATCAAGCGACCGAGGGCGGGAAGAAGAGCCCAGGCTAGTGTTGCAATAAGAAGACAAAATGGAGAATAACATTCTTCAGATGCTAAAATGAAGGACACAAGGCCTACAGTACTGGCTGGAAATACAAAGTAGCAAGAAGACCTTCTCCACAGATGGGGACACTGGGAGAGGCTGCTGGGTGCCTATGGTCTTGGCTAAAAGGTTCTCTGAGGTCCAAACAAAGGGAAACATCTAAGGCATCCCAACCCCAGAAGGACAAGGAACTAAGGATGCCTTTGAATCTGGAAATGGAGAGTATAAGAAAGTAGGCCTTGACAGAGGAACTTTATCTAAAAGTCAGGACCTCAGCAAAAGCTGGCCAGCTAACCAAGCGGCTTCTCAGTAGAGGGCTAGCATAAGAGCACTGACCCTTCATCACCATAACTGTGATTAAGTGCCATTCAGCTTCCCAGAGGAGGCCAACCTGCCCCAGGCAAGTGAGCATCTCCATGGACCACTCACATCAAATACCCTTGAGTACCTATCAGGGTGGATCTCGATGATACTCAGAAAATGCAGGAAAGTCAAGTCAATGGGGATGGCAAGAAGAAATATCCCTGCTTCCTCCTCCCAGACAGAACTGGCAACAAACTTCAGTCACTGAAGAGGAAAGAAACTGGGCACCCTGCTTCATTTTGACAACTGATGGTCCACACACACCCTTTGGACAACCTCTGAGATGATGGGGGAATATTCAGGACAGATGTTTCTCCATGGGAGTTTTTGTTTCATTGTGTTGTTTTAAGGTAGTAGAGAAGCAGGGGGAGAAATAACAACCAGTTGGGCGCGGTGGGAGACCTGCAATCCTAGCACTCCAGGTGCTGAGGCAAGATAAAAACTCAAGACCAGCCTGAGCTACAGAGTGAGAGCCTACCAAAGACAAAATCTGGTGCCAGCAAGATGGCTCAGCCGGCAAAGCACCTGCTGCCGAGCCTGTGGGCCTGAGTTCCACCCTTGGCATATCCACACGGGTGGGAAAGAACGGATTCCTGCAATACTCCCCACCAACTCTTTCTGTAGTTTTAAAGACTACTCAATACGTCTGAATCTTTAAACATATCCCCACGTCTCTTCCCTCACTTCCAATGCCAAATCCCATCACCTCATTGGCAGCTTACCATCCCGACCACCCCAGGTCTCCGACACACGGAGAAGCACGGGGTCGGGGCGTGGCAATCAGAGGGGTAGGCTTCCACCGAACCCAGGCTGGTCGCTCCCAGAGGCTCTGGGGGAGTGACGCGGAAGGAAGCAGGAACACCTACCAGCACACTCCTCCAGGGAGCATGAAGAGGTCTCGGAGGACATTCCAGAGCAGCTGGGTCTGGAGGGGAAAGAAGTGAGACACACACGGCGGCGCTCTCGGACAGCATCCCCGCACGTGGTGCTACACTGACTCCACGGCTGCCAGGGTCCCCAAGTTTCTGCAAGGACATAAGTCACGCTTTTAGTGCCAGTCACGTAAGAATCGGGATTTCACTGCACCCAAAGGAAGCCGCGAAACTCAAAGCCCTGGTCTGAAAACCCTAGGAGGAAAAACATTCTCATAGATGTAAAAAAAAAAAAAAAAAAAAAAAAATCTGGAGTGTTAATCCTCATCTCAAAACAACGAAGAGCGGTATGATCTATACAACCTTAGCCGGTCTGAGCATTCCTACAACCCAGCAGAGAGCTGAGGTCACAGGGCAACAGACCAGCCCACAGTGAAAGGAGAGTCAGGCCCCTCCCTCCCACCCCCATGGAAAGAGGGGCTGCAATACTTGTTTGCCTGGACCAGGATCCAGGACCCACCCACACACGCTCATCAGACGAAACACACCTAAAACGTCATGAGTTGCTGAGAGCAGGATGGGAACACAGTCTCAGGGGACAAGATAAGAAGGGGCATTTGTGCCCACATGCATCCTCTTCTCCAGGGACCCCCCCAGAAGGTCAAGCGTAGGACTAGACAAAGTCTCTTCACAGTGTGTGTGGAAGGACTAGGGTCACAGTAACAAAAACATCCAACCATATAGACCCTTCCTTCCATCTTCTCTATGGAACAATAGCCTCAACCACGGAGGAAAATGCAGCAAAGCGGTCATGCTGAGAGCATTCATTGAGGCCAGCTGTTGTGTCAGACTTGGGGAAGAGCTGAAAATGTCCTAGGCCTACACTATTTGAGGTCTTCCACTACTGCATGAGATCATAGAGCCTGCCTCCTCCCTGGCATTCAGACACATAGCCCTTGCTTCAGATGAAAGAGAACCACAAGACAGTTAGTAAATTACGTACCAAGTAGTTTAATATTAGCAGTTAGTAATACCTCCAGGTTAGTAAATTCCCAAGTCCCAAATAACAACAGTTTGGTGCCTGGGGAAGGCAAGACCTAGAGGTGAAAGCTAGTGTGAAGGCTGGCAAGACAGTTCAGTAGACAGTGGTGCTCACTACCAAGCCTGGAGATCTGAGTTCAAGCCCCAGAATCTACATACAAATCCTACAGGATGGCCTGATTTCCACCGGGGTGCCAAGACTGAGAGTGGGGAAGTACAGAAACCTGAAGAAAATCCCTCTGGCCGCACCATGTTTCCCCTAAACACAGAATAACACCGACACATACTGAGATCTTAGGTTCAGTAAGGGTTGCCGGAGCAACAGGGACAACCCAAACACAGTCCAATTCCTTACCACATTAACCCCAAACCCACAAAAAATGACCTATTGAAAGCAGAGGTATACCTATTTCTGGAAATAAATTACATTTGCCTAGATGTCTATAATTTCAAACAATTCTGAGATGCATTAAAAAAAACAAGAAAAAATAAAGTAATCAATAAAATCAGACTCAGGCATGACTTAGATATTAGGTATATTGGAAATAAAATTCAAAATAGCCATGACTAATGTGTTAAATTAGACACTAGTGGAAAACTCAAAGAAGACACATACATACGTGGAAATGTACCACTACTGCAAGCTGAGGATACTAACTGAAATGCTAGAACCACAGAAATACAGTGGCAAAGATGAAGAAAGCTTTCCACCAACTCCCAGTATGTTCAACACACTTGAAGAAAATAAGTGCGAATATAGGTAACTAGAAATAACTCAAATGGAAACACAAAGGTACCTCTGAGTAGACTATGTACCCGAAATAAAGCACGTGGTAGGAGCTTGACACACACCCCAGCCCCACCCTGTGCCGCAGTGTTTGGAGGTTCGACCTAATGGAAAGTATTTAGGTCCTAAGGGCTCTGCCATCATGGATGATGCTAATTCATTTCATCCCAGAAGACTTGGGATGTGCACTCTGTTTTTTTCTGCTGCTCCCCCTTCATGACAGAGCAGGAAGTTCCTCACCAGATTTGGGATTCTAGACTTTGGCCTTCCCAGTATCCAAACTTAGCAATAAACCTCTGTTCTTTATAAATTATCCAAACTCAGATGTTCTGTCATTCTCTTTAGCATAAAACGGACCGAGATAACAAGGGGGAATGAGATGGGTGAGAGAAGTCCAAGCAACAGGAAGACATCAAGCAGGATATCACACATGGACTTGGAATTCTGGAAGGAAAGGGCAGAATAGGAGAGAAAAATTATTTGAAAGGATATGTCCAAAATTAATTAAGATACTAAAGGACAAATTCAAGATGCTCAGAAAACATCAAGTAGGAAGACATACAGAAAGAAAAAGATCTTGGAAACCTACTGCTGCCACTTTGCTAGACCAGATTACTTCCTAACAGCATTCTAAATACTTGTCTTTATACCCACAGAGAAGTGTCGATCTCAACCTCCATCAAAGAAGCTTGTCTTTGTAGAAGATGGAGACCATCCCAGAAAACCACAACTGGTCATAATGCAGAGAACCATGAGGTGCTCAGCCCCAGTAGATACATCTACAACACAACTCCTGCACCTATGGTTCAGGGAACACCATGGAAGATGGGCAGAAAGATTCTAAGAGTCAGAGGACCAGGGAATCTGTGAGATTGCGTCTCCTAGAAATGAAAGGGAAGCCATGACCATGTTATCACAGCAGCATGGCTCCCTAAACAAGAGCTGAAGGATGAAAACGCTAATAGACATGCTAATGGGAAAAGAGGAAATCCTAAGGACCCCAACCCTAGAAAAAGAACTACAGGCAACTAACAATGGCTAAGAGAAGAATTAGTCTTCCCCAGAGAAGGCCCCTAAGGTTATCCAATACCAGTCAGTTGGCCCTGACATCATATACACATAAGCAAAACTAAACAGATTCAACAGGTTGTATTTGTATATTTCTGTGTATATATGTGGGTGCATATGCATATTCAACAATAATAATCAAAGAAAAAGAGGCCATGAATTTGAGATGGAATAAGGGGGAACAGAAGGGGTTGGAGGAAGGAAAGGGAAGAGAGCAAATGGTGTAATTAATTATACTTTCATTAAAATAACATCATTAAGGAAAAAACCCAAACTGTTTCTCAAAGTAGATTGGAGGCAAAGATACACACACACACACACACACACACACACACACACATATAAAACTCTAGGACAATCAACTAAAAATATTTTAATGTATAAATCATAAACTCTCAGCATGGTTAAAGTAAATCATAAAAATCTTCAATTAATCTACAAAAAAAAAAGAAAAACAAAACAAAGATCTAATGGAAGATTTATAACCTCAGAAAAATAGAGTTTAATTAAAACATGTAATAATAATACTAAACATCAATTGCATAAACATACCAATTAAAAAAACAGATTGTTAGATTGCATTAAAAAAATCTGACATGAGCCGGGCGGTGGTGGCGCAAGCCTTTAATCCCAGCACTCGGGAGGCAGAGCCAGGCAGATCTCTGTGAGTTCGAGGCCAGCCTAGGCTACCAAGTGAGCTCCAGGAAAGACGCAAAGCTACGCAGAGAAACCCTGTCTCGGAAAAAAAAAAATCTGACATGATTCAAGTGTGTGTGTGTATGTGTGTGTGTGTGTGTGTGTGTGTGTGTGTGTGTACATGTGTGTGCTGTTTGAAACCAAGAACTTTATATATATAAACACGTATAAATATGTATAACACACATATAAAAACATGTAAGTCAAAAGTAAAGGAAAGAAGAAAATATACTTTGTGAACACTGAAAGGAAATGGAGTTCCTATCTTAACAAAAGACAAAACTAGCCACAGAACTGGGGAAATAACCTGGATACAGAGGAACAATGTGGGATGAATGATGAGTCAATTTACTCTTAACAATCCTAGCAGCAGACCCACCTACAAACGGAACTTCACAATACACACAAACTCCCCCTAAACAGCTTTCTTCCCACTCTTCCAATACTGGGATGGAACCCAGGCCCTCTGGCATGGTAGGCCACTGATCTACCATTGAGCTACATCCTCCAGATAAAAAATGCTGTTGATAAATTCAGACTCCCTCTTCAAAGTAGATACGAAATCATTGCCACACATAATAACTTGTTTCTTATTGAAAATTAATCCAAACCACTTCTCTATCAATACCCACCCAACCCCAGTATCGATCAGATCCCGCCAGCACCACATATCATCCTCTATATAATAACATCTCTTCATCCATTGTGGACAAAAACTTCTAACACAGCTACAGGTACACAAAGCACTACAAAAACATGAGGAAAATTTGTAGGGCAGATGTGTTCTCAGGGAGACAAGTGGTGCAATCTTTGGAGTGAGTCATGGAATATGAGTTCGTTAAGGTAATTAAGTCTCTGAGGATTTTCACAAGAGTATGAGCAGTATAAATGAGTATCATGGCCCAACATCAACTGAGATGTGGTAATGATATTCCATACAGCGGTCCAACTGAATACAATATTGGTTCTGTGCCTCCTGGATCACACTGTAGTCCTGTGGAGGAACAATGAGCCTTGTCTACAAGGCTCCAGAACAGCTCGGCCACTAGTCCCCTTGCCTATAAGGCTCTGGGAATCTCCTATGACAGTCTCTGTGTGTGTTCACCTATTGTGGTTCATTTTCTAAAAATCTAGCAGAAATTCTACTACTACAAGATTTAAGTAGAAAGTTAGATCAACATACAGTTGATTTAGCCTTTTCTTGCGTTTGTGTTTAATACTATGGAAATGGAGAATTACAAAAAATAATAATCCTCTTGTTCCTGTAAGCATACCAATTGAAAGCCCAAGGTTGTTAAGTTGAATTTTAAAAAATAAGACCCAATTATATTCTCTTTTAAAAATGATTCTGACTTTTTGTAAGTACAAGTATAATTGCTTTAAATATATAAAGTCATTTGTGAAATAAAACCAACAATTCCTTTAGTGGGAACCAGAAAAGAAAATCAATTTTGATTTAAAAAACAAACAAACATGAATCTTAATGTAAAAACACAAACTCACTTTAAAATGTTGTATTTGAGGCTTAGAACATTTGGGGCTTCGAACATTGGGGTAAGAACACTAGCTATGAAAGCAAATGGTCCTGAGTCCAAATTCCCAGCACCCACGCAAAAGCCAGGCATGGCTACCCATGCCTGTAATTCTAACACTGGCATTGGTGGAAGCAGGCGAGTCCCAGGAGCTCACTGGTCAGCCAGCCTACCTGAGACTGAGCTTCAGATTCAGTAAGAGACCCTAGTCAAAAACAGTAAGAAGAAGAAGGTGGAGAGCAATAGAGGAAGATGTTGGAAAGGGGTAGATGACCGAAAACACCGGCTTTCACACAAAAGCATGTGCATACATCTGCATCCATCAGCCTCACACATATGCACACACACACATCCACATCCACCAGCCCTCACATATATGCATGCACACACATCCGCATCCACCAGCCCTCACACATATGCATGCACACACATCTGCATTCACCAGCCCTCACATATATGCATGCACATACATCCACATCCACCAGCCTTCACACATATGCATGCACCAGCCCTCACACATGTGCATGCACACACATCTGCATCCACCAGCCCTCACATATATGCATCCACCAGCCCTCACACATATGCATGCACACACATCCACATCCACCAGCCTTCACACATCCGAATGCACCAGCCCTCACACATCTGCATCCACCAGCCCTCACACATGTGCATGCACACACATCCAAATCCACCAGCCCTCACACATGTGCATGCACATACATCCGCATCCACCAGCCCTCACACATGTGCATCCACACACATCTGCATCCACCAGCCCTCCCACATATGCATGCACACGCATCCACATCTACCAGCCCTCACATATATGCATGTACACACATCCACATCCACCAGCCTTTACACATATGCATGCACACACATCCGCATCCACCAGCCCTCACACATATGCATGCACACACATCTGCATCTACCAGCCCTCACACATATGCATGCACACGCATCCACATCCACCACACAGACACTGTGCTGTTTCCCCTTGAAAGTAAAATCATGGCTCAAAGAACCACAAAAAGTAAACATTTAAACTATCTTTTAAATCTGTTTCTAAATCAAAATAACTAAATTGGAATTAGCCCCAGCTCAACTAAAGCAATGATCGAATTTACACAGGAAAAACACTTAAACACCTTAAGCTTCAGATCTCTGAAGATATGAAACAACTTTGAAGAAAATACTCTAAAATGGGAATCTATTAGACATCTATAGTTCACACATCGCACATGAAAAGCAAGATGACCAGTATTCTAAATAGTTGTTCTTTGTGAATGAAAGGTTGTTTTGTTTGGCCCTCTGTAGATGTCCATAGATACATACATACTTTAAAGCGAGCTTGTTTGGCCAGGTAAAATGCCTTTCCAGCCAGCACAAGAGATACCAATTCTGAATGAGCAAAATTTGTCTGGAATGTGATAAGGAAAAAAATGTTTCTGACTCTAAGACCGTTTGAAGGACAAAGCTGATGAAATATTGACATTTCTAAGACATCGTGCTCTGGAGACCAAGGTAACTAAACAAAACATGCTCAGAAGAAACCCCCAGATGTGAAGGAGAAGCAGGGACACCTGAGAAAAGCAGTTGCATTCCCTCTGCACAGAGCAAGGTTCACTTCAGTTGAACAGTGCTCATCCTTGGATACTGGACATGCAAACAGTTACAGGTCTTCCAAAAGGGCTACACAGTATAGGATGAATGAGGAAGAAAAACAAACAAACAAACAAATAAAAAACCAGAATCTTTTCCAAGCTGAAAGCTTTTTTTGTTTTGTTTTGTTTTTTTCAAGACAGGGTTTCTCTGTGTAGTTTTGGTGCTTATCCTGGATCTCGCTCTGGTAGTGCAGGCTGGCCTCGAACTCACAGAGATCCGTCTGCCTCTGCCTCCCGAGTGCTGGGATTAAAGGCATGCGCCACCACCGCCCGGCTGCCCAAGCTGAAAGCTTTTTATTGTCTTACAGAGGAATTGGCATGGAAGGCCATGGCAGAACATGGTAAAGCAACTCGTCGGGCTAGTCCACTCAACCTTTGGTTTTCACTTGTTTTGTGGGACTGGGACTAGAACTCGGGGCCAACACCACTGAGCGATATCCCCAGTTGGTAGCGTATTCAGCTTTGTGCTCTGACTCTTCACTCAAACATCCCGAGCCAATGACTTCGCTTTTCTGTGTCTTCACTTCCTCACTTATAAAACTGACAATGTAAAGAGCCTAAGTTACAGGATTATAAGGCCCAAACCGGTTAACAGTCACAAAGAGCACTTAGTCCCGGGGGGCTAATGAATCATGTGAAGACCACAAGGAGTCCCTTTTGGCAACATACAGAATGTACTGTATCTTTGGGTCCCAAGACAGATTTAGAAGTGGAAAGAGGCATAAACACATTATTCTATTTTCAAAAAAAAAAAAAGGACTAACAAGATTCAGTGAGTCAGTGATTCAGAAGCCTGACAGTGAGGAGGCTGGGGAGAGCTGCGGTTTGTAAAGTGCTGCTACAGTCACATCAGGACCTCTCCCCAGCATCCACCTGAAAAGCTGAGGAGTCCTTTCTCAGGAGCCCCCCACATTGTCTTTCATTTGAGACATGATTTCTAACCAGGTCCTGTGGCCTCTCGATTAGGCTGGCCTGGCTGGTCAGGAAGTCCCAGGGATCTCTGTGTTTTCACCTCCCCAGGTTTTCACCCCTACAGACGAGTGTTCATGGTGCTGGAAAGTACTCTGCACACTACCAAAAGAGAAAGCACCCAACAGCTACAAACTCCTCCATCTACAATGGTGACCTGCCTGCAAGACACGCTGGTGCAGTAGTGGTACAGAGCCTGTGGGAGCAACCACCCGCTCTCTGATTGGATCTAAGACCCACTCCACAAGATAAACCCATATCCTGTGTGGGTAGCCAAGAACCTGAGACTAGATTGGCCAGGGACCTAGGGGAAAAACCAAATACAACTGTTCTGCTAAAGGGTTATTGTAATAAAATGACTCCTAATGACATTCTGCAATACTCATAGGTCAGTGCCTTGCTCAGCCATCATCAGAGAAGCTTCCTCCTACAGCAGATGGGAACAAATACAGAGACCCACAGCCAGACAATATGCAGAGAGTGGGAGACCTTGGAACACTCTGTCCTAAGCAGGATGTCTCTATCAAATCCCTCCCCTCAGGGCCCAGGGAACCCTGCAGAACAGAAGGTGGAAAGACTGTAAGAGCCGGAGGGGATGGAGGACACCAAGGAAACAAGGCCTTCTAAACACAGCAGAACCGATGCACATATGAACTCTCAGAGATTGAGGCAGCATGCACCAGGCCTGCACGGATCTGCACCAGATGGGGTCCTAAAGCTGAAAGGAGAAGTGGACATATGTCCCCATCCCTAGCCCAGAAGCTATCTCCAATTGATAATCACTTGCAAAAGAAAAAAATAAGTTTTCTCCAAGACATTCTTAAGGGTAGGCCCTAGGCCCAGAAGTAGATGGCCAACAGTAAATGAACTCAACGGCATCTTAGAGGTTCCTTGTCTCATAATGTTAGGTCGGGGCATTTGTTTGTTTGTTTGTTTAACCTAACAAGTCCTTTGAATTATGACTTCTGGTTTTGTGTTTTTATGGGATTCCTGTGTGTGCAACCCTGTATGGGTCTGAGTCCACGTGTATTTCTTGTGCTTTTTCTTTGGCTCTATTTCTTCTGTTTGTTTTTTCCTATTCCAATTTGTTTTTGTTTTATTTTTTCATTTTATTTTATTATTATTCCTTAGATGCCTGCTTGTTCTCTAATGAGAGAGAGAAAGGGTGTGGATTTGGATGGGAGGGGAGGGAGGGTGGAACTGCGAGGGACTGAAGGACAGGAAACCATAATCAGGATATACTGTATGAAAAAAAACATCTCTTTTCAATGAAAGAAACTATAGTATCACCCCCAAGGGTCAAGGACCATCCTGACAGAAGGGGTATAAAAACTGTAGGATCCAGAAGTTGGGGAGGACAGGCATGAAACAGTATCTTTGGAATATGCCATGACCTCTGCACTCGGAACTCACAGTGTCTGTGGCTGCCTGAACAAGACCACCATGGAGTGGAGAGGGGCTCTGAGCCTCCATCACTAGCTGAAGAGATACTGACGATAAATAGTTTTTGAGGGAAAGAGAAAACCTAAAGAGGTTATGTGAATCTGATGGCCAGGACAGCTATATGGTCCCCCAGCTCTCAACAAGTTCTCTGTCCCCAGAACTCACAGCCACAGACTCAACCAGCTATGGATAGGAAACATTCAGAAAAAAGTACTGCATCTGTACTGCAATGCACAGGCTCCATTCTTGTTATTGTTCTGCAAACAATGCACCTTAACAACTACTTACACAGAATTGCATTGTACTGTTTCGTGAGTAACCTAGAGATGACCTGGGGTTGACAGGAAGTGCTGTGTAGGTGTTATGTGAATACTATGCAGTGTTGGTATCTGGGGGCCCCAAAATTAATCTCCCACAGAAACTGAAAGATGAATATGCTTTAAATTTTTCACCAAAAAAAAATAATGCTAATTGGTATAGTCTGAAGAATGGATCATGAACACCACAGTTCACCTAGATCGTATTAATTTTGATTACATGAAGGCACTGATTGGATTTTGAAATGCTGAAAAATCTTGATACCAACCTATATTTCTCTGAATTAGCATACACTCCTTCGCAGAAAAATGGCTCTTCCTCGAAATTCCAAAGTTAAAGCAGTATTTGTTCTTCCCCACATCAAACAGAGTGCAGTTAAACACTGTTCTCCTCTCTCCCAGGGACAGGCTGTTTTCAGCCAGCTGAAAAGTCCTCTCCTCCGGGTGTCTCGGGGCCTCTTTGTAAACAGTGAGCACTCCTTGGACAAAGACACAAGGAGGTGGCAGGACCATCACCTCCACCACAGACTCACACGTGACTTCCGGCGCCATCGTCAATGTGTATCCGAATTTTTGGGCCAGGTCAATGGGTCCGGTAGAAGTAATGACTGAGTCTTGGCCCCAAAGCTTCAGCGACACAGTGGCATAGGCTTTCACCCCAATGGGTGCACAGCCAAACTCAACCCACTGACCTTGAGCGAGTTCTGTCCTTTTGCTGGCTCTGATCTCCAGCGGCTGCCCCCTTGTTCCTGCCTCAGGAAGACTGTCAGTGAAAACCACGTCCACCAGCATGTCCGGCTTGTCCGCTGGAAACAGGCAGAGCGGCTGGGTGGTAAAAAGGCCCACTTGGAAGGTGCCTTCTGCGGCCTTGGCGGTCCTGTTCAAATCGATGTGAAAGACAGGCCATTCCACCTTCAGAAAGGCACTCTTCTCCCAGCAGGGAACTTGAGTGCTGTTGTCCGTCACTTCTGGAATCATTACGAACCAGTAGTCACCCGCCTCCTTGAAGTAGAAGCACTCAAACTGGAGCGTCCCCTGGGACTGGTCGGTCAGGAGGTGCTTTGTGGTCAGAGTCTGATTGGTGTTGGCCGCCCACAGCATGACAGACACGTTCCTCAGTGTCCCGTTAACGTCACCGAGATAGCGGAAACCCACCGACACTGTCCTGTTGCTCAGTGCCACGTGGACTGGCTCTCGCAGGAGGAGGTACTCAGTTTCTCCAAGGACTGAAAGAAAATGGTCAGAATTGCATTTTAAAGGGAGCGCTTGAGTGGGCCTATCAGTGATGCAATGAAAATGGCTTCTCAGACAGTAGAGACTGTGGAACCAAGCCAAGGATGTCATAACGACACAGCAACTAAGGGTCGAGCACCCAGCTTGTTCCTTTCTAAGAGCGCTCTCTGATGTTTCATCGCCCTTACGTTTCACATGGTGAACAGTGATACGTACTCCGAACTCACAACATTCGACATCTAACCGCAGTGAATAACTATGAAGGTAGAAGAATAATTGACCATCCTCAGGCTTAAACTTCAGGCCCTCACATTTCTTACTTCAATCATTTTCTGGGGTTCAGAGAAAGTTTGGTTTGAACGGCACAATACACATGGCTGTAGGTTATTTAAAATGCCAGATACTTAACCTCTCTTCAAAGTGATTATTGTCCAGTGTTCAAGATAAGCACTTGGGAATTTTTACCAGTAAAAGAACCCGTGCCCTCCACTTGGGTGAGGAGGAGAGTTTTAGCTGGATGAGAGATGCTATTTCTTTATTCTTTGTTGGTCATCCACAGTAGTATGAACATTTCTGAAATAACTAGGCATGTCCTTGGCAGCTTCAATGACATGGCAGCAACTGGTCCTGGCACCGACAGAGCAGATGACTACCAATTTCCCAAGTACCATTCAGCTATGATCAAGCATATCTTTTCAAAAGAGACCCAGCAGGGCAGCTGAATGGTACAAAGAATGCAGACACATAAGAATCTTTGTTTCCTTTCTGAGCTGGATCCAAATACATATCAAAGCAGGCAGGATTTGGCAATGTAACAGTCAGCTGGCCCATGGCTGGGTAAGACATTATTCCATAGTGAAAGAACTGCCAGGACCCCTTTTCAGTTTGAAAAATGTTACACAATTAAAAATGTATTATTCTTATTGTATATACCCCATCCACATATTGTATATGCATATTATATTGCACATATCTAAAGGGGCTCATATTTTTGTTTACACTTACCATCTTTAAACTTCTCTTATCTGTATGTAATCAGTGATGACTAGAATCAGCACATAGATATATTAAAACATAGATATTGTACCTCATCTGTTTCCTACTTGAGATTAAAATAAGATATATAAAACTTGGATAGATTTGAATACTTGATCATACTTACTTAAATATATATAACAGGATAAAGTTTGCTTTGTGTTGTTTTTCCATTTAGGGAAAATGGAAGTTGAAGACTATTCCTTTGCATCTGGAGACATGAGTTGAGGAAGGTGTTCACTAGTGCCCAAAGAGCCTGTCACACCATCACAGGCCAAGGAAGGGATTAAGACTGAGACAAAAGCAATTTTAAAGATGTTTCGCCGGGCGGTGGTGGCGCACGCCTTTCATCCCAGCACTAGGGAGGCAGAAGCAGGCGGATCTCTGTGAGTTCGAGGCCAGCCTGGGCTACAGAGTGAGTTCCAGGAAAGGCGCAAAGCTACACAGAGAAGCCCTGTCTCAAAAAACCAAA